CAGGAGAGAGAGTCTGCCTGGGAGTTTGAAGGTGGAATTCTCTTCCCTGCCCCCTGCCCTGGTTCTGCTCGGGTTTCATCCTTGAGATCCCCAAGGCAGAAGTTCCACCCTTCCCAGCCCCCAGCCCCCAACCAGCATGGAGCAGGGAACAGCTACAGGCCTCAGGAATGGGCTGGTGAGTGGGTGCCAGAGCCTGGACGGGGCCACCCTGGTGTCGGTGTCTGGCTGTCAGCAGCACCGGCTGTTGCGGGGGAACTAGACCCCATCTGAGGCACCTGGGCAGCCTGGCTTGGGAGTGTGAAAGCCAGCCCGTTCCACACAGAGTTGGCAGTTGCCTTTGGGGCCTTTGCCTGCAGAAGGGGAAAGCAGGTCAGGGATCTAGCCAACATCCCCAAAGTGTGGTAGAACTCAGCATCTAGGCGGAGCAGCCTCAGCTCCAGGACCCCGGCTGGCCTGTAGCTCACCTCCTCATACTTCATCCTCCAATAGAAATGGGCTTCTCTGTCCACGTACAGCAGCAGCAGGTCACAGAGGAAGGTGACCTGGCAGAGGCAGGGCTGGCCCATGTCCCAACCCTCCAACCTGCCCTCCTGCCACCTCCCCAACCCTCATCGTGGGACTCAACATGCAGGCAGAGGGGACTTGGTCACACACTCAGGCAGTGCCAGGCAGGCACTGGCTGCAGCCAGGCGGAGCCTGTGGTGGTCACTCACCAGGCCCAGCCATGCTGCACCAGTGCCCAGTGTGATGGCCGTGGGGATGAGCCCAAACTTCCCTGCCTGAACAGACCTGGGCTGAGCTTCTTGGGCCATGACTGTCGCCCATGGCTCCTCCAGCCCCTGTCTGTCTGCCTCTAACCATCCCCCACCCAACCCCTACCTGCCCGGTGACAAGGATGTCGAAGCGGATTCCATAGAGCTTGAGCAGACTTCGGGCCTCCACGTCTGGGGCCTCCCACCAGTGAGTGGCTGTCCTGGAGGCAGGAGAGAGGGCTCTGGTGGCCTGCTCTGCCCCCTCCAGGCTTTCTTATCCATTAACTACATAAACCCTCAGCCCAAGCCTGACTCCTAGGTCTCAGCCCTGTTTAGTTGTTCCCTGCCTGCTGAGGGGACAAGAGGACAGAAGGGTCCCTAAACAGACACCAACATCGTGGAATGGGAAGGGGTGGTTGGAGGGCCAGGCCCAGGGCTGTGAGAGTGCAGAGGCGGGAAGTCATTCTCCCCTGGGCATTGGGGTAGGTTTCCTGGAGGGCAGCATTCAGGCTGGGACTGG